GTGTGTGCGTTTGGAGGCTTTTTAAGGAGCAGATTCAAATGAAGCTGTGTTACACTTTACCCTGAAATCTAAAAAGAGAAGTTGTTCAATTAGGGCAGTATGACACCCGGAAAGCACATTGTGTCATTATAAGTTTATTCTGCAACGATGAAATAAGTCAACATTTACCTACATTTTCCTTCTTCTTCTACCTACATTTTCCTTCTTCTTCTCGATTTTTCCCCTACCTTCACAATGTTTACACCACTAACTATAGGCCTTAGCAAATCTGTGTCTAAATTTCACATCAGATGTAAGCATAAGACGCAGTGAAACTTGATCCAAAAGATCAAAATCATTTTGTCTCTCAATATCGAGCAGATCTCAATAAAACTAATTTCAAAATAATTGTTAACATAAAGCATTACAGAAGATGAAAACGGTTGTGTTAAATTAACACGATAGGTTATTGCTGAGGTTTGTGTTGCCATTCCTTGTTCAATAAGCTTTGAACAAAGCTAAAATATGTAAGCTTGGATGGAGAGGCTCAGAAGTTAGAAAATAAAATCATGGCAACAAAACTGAAGGGTCTTTCGAAATACATACAACATTCATTATTGTCCAGCCATGTTGAATAATTTACTTTCAAAAAGGATGATCCAAGTAGATCCCTGGTTCTCGATTAAGTGCAATAGCACTTCAAGAAACACTGTTTGTGTATGTATATCTTAAGCAATGTTATTGCTTGAGTATAAGAATCAAGATCAAAATAACAACAGATCCTATAAATAATAAAACTGCAACAATCAAGAAAGGTTTCCACAAACATTTCCATTTCAAAAATCCCACACTTCTCCAAATTCACTTATCTAGATTTGTCACCATGTTTTTGCAGAAGACTTCAGATTTAGCAACATAGTAAAATGCCATTTCATTTTGTTTGGGCATTTGGGCATCCAAGCCCTAACCAGTTTGAAAAGTTTGGGTGCAGTTTAAAATCCAGAATTATAAGTATTTAAATGACAAAAAAAGTTTGTGGAAACTTCTCTTTTTTTATTTTAGAATAGGTGTTTAACTATTAGTAACTCAAAGACTAAAATATTCAATGAGTTGTGTGAAAACTCAAGTTGTGGTGTGACAAATTAAAAATAGAAGTCATTATCTAAACACACATCAATGTTAAAATGTTTTTTTTTTTCTCCCAGAAAAACAGATTTCTGTTTCAGATAAATGAACGGGGCGTAAACATTTTCTTGCTCTCAATAGTGTTGTATACCTATCCATACTTGGAAAACAACTAAATCAAATTCTATACTTTTACAGAGGTTTCAACTAATTAATGGAAATAAATTATTTTATGTTGGCATATTAGTATAATAAATAAATAAGCAAGTTGCAAATAAAATAAGGGCTAATTAACAACTAAATAAGTAAACTTAGAAAACAAACAAAACAAAAAAACAGGGCAGAGCAGCAGGTACTCCTCAGATAAAACAGGATAAATTGTTATTTTTAGAAAACTAATCACACAATAATGGTTTTTATTGTGACAACTGAGCTTTTATAAAGTTCCCCGTTAAAGTAGAGTCCAAACAAACCAGCTGTGTAACTTTGGCAGTGATTTCCATCTTATTATAGCTGGGTCACCAAGTTAGCTTGAAGACCCCTGGGCAAACAAGCTGCATTTCCAAGCTTTAATAGCCTAAACGAGGCATGAAACTAACAAAGGAAGCCTCCACCTCGCTCATTCTGACCCCCTTTCATTTCCTACGCTTCCTATTTCAACCACTAGCATCATCTGGCTGCCCTTAACCAGAGAGCCAAACATTCCTTTAAAGCAGCAACTACTTTGTTAACTGATGACCACGAGGCCAGTTATTGATCCTCTTCTTCCTCCCTCCCAGTAAACCTGGCTGATAAACCCCCTCCACCCCACCACCCCCCTCTCTTCTCTCAGGGCTCAGCAGTACGCGGTTTGCTACAATAATAGCTTGCATATTATAGCATCCACATGAATCAGATCTCAGTGGTTTCGATTAAGGCTAAACTAACTCAAATGCACCGACGGTCTAGGATGCAGATCTATTTATGAACAAGGAGTGTAGGTGGTAGCGTTCACTTCTCCCCTCCCGTTCTCTTTAAAAGGATTTCTCATTTCAGTTGACTTAGCAGTTCAAGTGCAAACTTTGCAGTCGTGCTGACCTCTGAGAGGCCCTGCAGGGAGCGAGGAGACCCCTGGTGATCTGCTGTTTAGCATCAGCAGTGGTCCAACTCTTCAGTTTTAGTGTGCTTGGAGGAAGGGCAGAAGAGGATGAAGCTGCATGGTTCTGATGGTGCATTGAGGTACTTGTGATGGAAGCACTTGCTTCTTTTGCAAAGAAAGAGGGCCATTAGGGTCACTTTAAATTGCTTTTCTAAACTTCCTTCGCGTGAAGAAAAAAAAAATCTTATGAGGCACACAGCCGATTGTTTTTTTTTGTAAGAACTTTGCTTAATAAATGGCTACACAGAAAAAGAAAGAGTCACAACTTATTCTATGTCTCCCTGTGAAGTGAAGAAAAGTGAAAAGGTTGGATGTAGCTTGAAAAAGGCACAAATCACTGACAGGGAGAAATGAAACTAGTAGATAATTTGCTGGACAAAAAAAAAGGGAGAAAGTATTAAAACTATTCACGAAGAAAGAGGAGATGGAGCTCTGAGACAAAGAAAAACAAATTACATTAACGTGAATCATAACGAGACTGGACAGAAACAAAACAGGGCAAAAAAGGGAAGAAGGGAATAAGTTATTCCTTAAATAAGTGAAAGAAAAAGAAAGTGCAGGGCTAATTAGTTCCTTATAGCTGCGCTTTCATTTGGCTGAAAGGTCAGCTAACTTTAAAGGTCACGCTGCCACCGATTGTGCAAGGAAACACACACACACACACGCACACGCGCGCACACACACACACACACACACACACACACACACAAAAAGCCACAAAGAGAGACAAAGTTAAATCCAGCAACATCAACACAATCACAAACTAGGACAAATTACAGTACAACACATATCTGTGCGGGCGTGCACATAGGCACTTGTGGCACATTTGATATTCTCATTTATATCATGTCCTGGTCAGTAAAGGGACCTGGGTCATTATTCTATCTGAGGACTTTTATTACTGTTAGTATATCCACTGCAAATTACTCTTGACTTTATTTAAATGTGCATCAAGATAATCTTGAGGCAGTGTGTGTGTGTGTGTGTGTGTGTGTGTGTCTGTGTGTGTATAACCGATGCTGCTGGTCGTGAAGGAGCTCGACTGAATTTATCACCTGCAATGCTAAGCACGTTTCTTCCTTTCTGCCTGCATTTCCATGCAGATCACAGCTGTCCTAATAAAAACTACAGACTGTAATCAGCATCCCTGAATTTGAGGTTCGCAAAGTAGAGGTGAAATGTAAAAGCAGTATCAGACATCGGTTGTTTTGTGGCGACTGAATGAGACATTTAAATCCACTTTTCATTGATTTCCATGTTGGCAATTTAACATTATGTTTAGCTCTCATACAGCAGATGCTAATTCGATCTGCAGTTTATACTTATGGCTTTTTAAAAGGCATCACACTTTAAACAAACCTGACTTGCACCAATACACCTTTTCAAGCTTAGAGCAAAAATAAAAGTATTGTTGGAAATTGCTTTACAAGTTTATTATTCCGTGGGACTACACATAATATAGTCCAGGTTCACTGCTAAATTGACCTGCTAAAACTAGCCTATTATGCTAACAATGATGTTAGAGCTAATGCTAAATTTCCTTGAGAAAACACAACAGATCCAAAATATTGCAAAATACTGCAGCTGTCTACTTTGTCCCTGTTTTGAAATAGTTACAACTGTTGAACTAATAGTACTTTAAAATAAGTTAATTGTTTAATATTGTTATTTTTGAGCTAAGTTATATGTAGCAACTAAAAGGAAACCAGTGATTTGCTATTGACAGATTAACAAGTAGAATGAAACAACCAAGGATCAGTTAAAAAAACAAAAACAAAAAGGGAATAAAAGATAGTGCTAGGTTGATTGGAGATCTATTTCCACTAATCTTTATAGAGAGCGGTGAGCAGACACTGTGTAGGAGTGGTTAGCACTGCTAATATGCAGCAACAGTTTCTATGATTTCTTCAGGGTTTTTTTTCCTTCAGTCAAAAACATGCGTGTTAAGGTAATTGGGGCCTGCCATAGGAAAGCACTGAAATGCCTTGCCAAGCCAGGCATTTCAACCATGTAACCATGGCGATGTAATTAGCAAAAACAGCCAAATTCAAATCAAAACAAATTATTACTGACGCTGTTTTGTGTCTGAAAACAGAGATAGAATTTTGTCTGTAAGATAAGTATTATTTCAAAAGAGACGAAGAAATCTTATGTTTTTGAACAATAACAATATTTGTTGTTAATCTGTTGCTAAGAGACGAGCGCGTTTTCTGGTAACCAAGTGCCACGAAGAAAACATCTGATTTTTACTTTTGCAAAATTTACCAACTTTAAATTTCTTGTGACTAAGCAGATAAGCAGTATTTCAAAAGAGCTTATGTTTTATAAACAATAATTAATGTGTTGTTAAGAGATGAGAGTTTTTTTTCCTGGTAACGAATGTACCACAAAGTATAAATCAGATTTTTACTTTTGTGGTAAATGTGTGTTTTATAATATATTTACCACTGACAAAAAATAAATCATTTTCACTGTTCTAAAAAATTCACCAACTGCACGATTCTTGTTAAGTAGTATAAGGTAAGTAGTATTTCAAAAGAGGAGAGGAAATCTTGTTTTTTGAACAATAACAATAATTGTTGCTAATCTGTTGCTAAGAGACAAGTGTGTTTACTGGTAACCAAGTGTCATGAAGTAAACAACAGATTTTTACTTTTGCAAAATTTACCAACTTTAAATTTCTTGTGTCAATGTTAGATGCTGAAGTTAGTTTATAAGTCAACGTTTCCAAGTTCTACACATCAGCACGAACACTTACCTTCTTCAAGCTTCTTTCGAGCCTCCTCTTCTCTTTTGGCTACTTTGGCCTTCAGAACTTCATCTGTCTTAGCTGAAATGACAAATAGCAGGAAACAAAGTTAAAAGCAAAGTCAATATTCTAAAAGTTGACTTGATTATTCAGATACAAATGAGATTTTCCTTGATTTCTCATCACGATGCTATTTTCTTTGTTTTCTGAAGTAGTCTAAGCTAATATTATGAACCTTGGCAGTGAAGGTGAGCCTTTAAGTTTGACATCTTGCTCCAATGTATGAAGTTGGCAGGGAACATAATCATTGACGAAGCTTGCTCTACTTTTAGTGTTGCAATATTTTGTGTACTCGGTAGAAAAAAGAAATTGAGAAAGAGTGACAGCTAAAATACAAATGATTTGTAAGTACTATGAAAATACTGGCAACCTGATCGAAAATACGAAAGTATTTCAGTTTTTTAAATGAACGCATCTTCTCTACTTCAAAATATAACATATGTAGATGGAGTCACTTCAAAATTTGATAGATATAAAAACTACAACTTATCACTCAGTCCGGTGATTCAAACCTTTTTTCTGTGGGCCAGTTTCCACTAACAAACCATATGCCTCATATTTGCACAATCATGCACGTGTTCACAGAAACACCAAAAACAAACTAAAAACCCATTTAAAATGTCTTTTCAGTAAAAAGAAAAAAAAAGAAAAGAAAAAGTGAGGAATCTGCATTTCTTTCAAACTATATCAGCCACCCTGATCTCATATCTGTTCAGGGTTCAGATGTCAGGACGTAGCAGCTGGCACAGGCTTGTTTTTTTTTTACTGTAGAAACAAGCTGAACTGCCTGATGTGCATGCAGTGCTGAATGAGAGACTATTCTTAAGCGAGCCAGTCAGTCTAAGCTCATTAACTTATCTTTTGACAAAACAATATGTTTTTCAGCCTTATCATTGAGCCCTGTGTGTAATAACACAACCAGGTGCATAAAAGCAGGGTTTGGATCACTAGTGCTAATAATTTGTATAGGTGTAAAACATTTTAAATGTCTCCTTGCTGGTGTCCACCGTGACTCCTCTAATGCTCCTCCTTCGTAGGTCCAGTCAAACTTACCATCGTTGATACTATCAGTTTTCCATAAAATATTGCTAAAATCTTGTTTTGTCTCGATCTTGTGACCCCAATACGATGGCGCTTACTGATACGCTATAATGAGAGCACAGCAGTGCTAAAATTCACAGTAAATTTGCCTCTTTCTTAAATCAATTCTTTACAGATAACTCAAGAAAGGAAACAATATTTAGCTTTTATATTTGCAAAACTTATGTTTTCCTGAAGAAGAAAAAAAATCCCCCTTGTAAGGCATGAGGATTTATCATTGCATAAACATAATCTCGCTGCGAGATGGTACCCTTCCCGGCTTTTCATTTATACCTGCGCAAAGTCAGCGTTTCCTCCTAAGAGGTGTTTATCGTTTTGGTATAATGAAAAGCTTAAAAGAAAGTGAGGCAGCGGGAACAAACACTCGTCAGGGCATCTTAAGCGTGGTCTCATCACGAACCGCGTCGTCCCTGCTACCCCCCACCCCCCACCACCACCACCACACACACTTTTCCCCCCCGAATAATCAAGATGTTAAGCCGCATTAAAAAATATAATGCCGTGTATGGCAGGACTATCAATACTGCCTCTAAATTAATTACATTTCCGTTGCGGCGCATCATTTATTTTGCAGTGTTAGGGCCTCGGTGGAGCCATTCGCCTTTATTGCTATCTCACTTGGTTGATGAGTGAGCTATGTAAAATTGAGTCTCCAATATCATTACACTTAATGAGTTTAAACTTTGAAAAGAAGAGGGAAAAACAGGGGAGAGGAACCGAGGCGAACGAGATGACGAGAGCGAAGGGAGAGGAAGAGAATGAGACCGCAGCACTGTTTTGGTTAATACAATAGGAGTGTGGGTGTAAGTGTTTGTGAGCGCTTGCAGCCTTGTTTGTTTTCGGGCACAGCTGTGGGTGTCCAAATGGGGTTTATTGCACCACTCATCATGCCTGCGCACACGCATGTTCTGATCGTTAAAAGAGTTTGTGCTACAAGTACAAATGGCCGTACACGAAAACGTCCAGACGCAGGAGGCCGACGGGCTGAACGGCCCGCTTTTGTTCGGTAATTGGTGGAGACAAAGAAGCCGTCACAGGGCTGACACGGCTGGTTAAGTCTGGAGGTTCCGCATCTTTGCCAACAATGACTCTACACGGATGACTGAACGCTCCTCCGCCTCCTCTGAGCAGAGAGGGGCGAATGTGTTTGGGAGCAAAGCGCTGAGAATTATTGGGCGCTCATGTTAAGGTGCAGGAGCCTTTCCAGGTAACAGTGAAGATTTTTGCTCCCGTCTTTCTACCCACAATGCTTTCGTTGCTTGAACCAGGGTCAAATGATTTTATTCTTAATAACTGCACAGTATTTTCTGTCATTGTCTTGTGCGGTATATTTTTATTATTATTACTATTAGCGTTGTTATTGTTAATCTTGTTTGTTATATATTATTTTCAACACTTTAAGATTTTTTTTTTTTGTGTGTGATGCTGCTGTTACACCTGAATTTTCCCTTAGCAGGTAAACAAAAACTGCTTCTACTTCTATTCTATATCAGATTTGAGGACATAAGTCAACTACTGAAAAACAGACAAATACAGCTCTGTAGAAATGATCACTGAGGTTGGAAACATTTTCATTTCAGTCATCTGCTTTTCCACTATTTATGTTTTCTGGTCATTTGAAATGATCTCACAGGAATAGTTGGCATTTTGTTTGCAGACACAACATTTAAACATTCATTAACTCTTGCCGAATTTCAGTGCTTTAAAGTGATTACATTCAAATGCCTTAATAAGATAATGTTTGAATACATTTAATAAGAAGTGATAAGGAGTTGTTTTCTCGTCAAAACCACGTTTGAGAAATCAAAACTGGTAAAGTTAACATGGTTTACAGTGTTTATGTTCCAAAATACAAATCAAATCAATCACATCTTGACGAGATATCCATTTTTAAGTTTGAAAAATGGTCCAAAGGTAAACGGCATGAACAGTTTTTGCATACGCAGCATGCTGGACGAGCCCCCTATTTTAATCACCCCCTAACCAATCAAAATGCAGGAAAACATCCAAATTCTGAAGTGGAACAAAATGGGTATCAGTCCCACACAATATATGCAAAGTACTCTAATAATCTATTTTTAGAAGCAACCAGGGACATTTTAATCTGATGCTTGTGCACCCCCTCTCTAAAGCCGCCCAGGGCAACTGCCCATATTGAAAGCAGCCACTGGTGAGCAAACTTGTTTGGTTAAATTGATTTAAAGATCATTACTAAGATCTAGAGTAACTCAGTATAAGCTTGAATAGTTTGTATAGCTTATACTGAGTCACTGAACCAGCAACAACCTCGCAAGAGGAGGAGAGACCCTCTGAGCGTGAGTTGAGGTGAAAAGTTTGGTTTTGGACGCCATTTTGGTCACAGCTAACTGCTGGGGAAAAATAAAAGGTTTTGCAGGGAATAACAGTTCTGGGTTGAACATTCAAAACTTGCCCCCACCTCCCCCCCAAAAAAGTCCAAATCAAAAAAAAAAAAAAAAAACTAGGCTTGAAGAAATGCGGCAAAACCATCGCAGTTTGTAAAAAATCCTGCATATCTTTGCAACCGCTTCTTGTTTGTATGCACAGACACGTCTATGTGTGTGTGCGAATGAACTTCTCGTTGTTTGGTTCACGCCTTGCTCGGGGCTACCAGGAGGCAGGTAAGAGACAGAGCGGAGTGTGTGTGTGTGGGGGGGGAGTTGGGTTTGAGGAGACAGACAGATAGATACGGGCCATGCAGGATGAAGGAAGAGCTAAGACAGCGAGGGAAACAGGCAAACAAGCAAAAAATAACAGAGAAGGAGGAGGAAAAAAAAAACATTGCCTGCATGCACACAAATTTGTACACAAACAACAGGAACGATTTGTCGCCTTTTTTTCTCCGCATGTTTATCCTCCACCTTCTATCCCTTCATCCCTCCTCCAACAGGTTCTCTTATCCTGTTCTTGCTTCCCTGCTTCTGTTTTTTTTTTTTTGCTTTTCTCTTCCCTTCCCTTCCCTTCTCTTGCTCATCTCTCCGGTACACCATGCCTGGGGGCAATAGCAGCAAATCAAACTGTTTATCCATCTCTCATCAGTGCACTGCCTCACAGGGGCTCCTGCCCCCTCAAAACAATGAAAGTACGGCTGAGCGCCGAGCCCGGGATGTGATTTAATTACATCAATAAGGAGCTCTGCTTTAAAAACATGAAGGCAACATACTTTGCTGCACCATCATGAAAAGCCTGTTAACGCTACAGCTGTAACAGCACCAAAAAAAAAAAAAAAAAAGAAAAAGCATATGAAAATAATCAACAACTGCAACCCGTCTGAGTCTGCGAGCAGAGGCCTGCTTATTGGCAGTATATTTTCTCGGCAACTGAGTGGCTTCAGTTCATTGTAGGGTAATTCTGTGATGGACTTTTATTAAAGCAGGTAATAAACGGCCGGGTGTTAGCGAGAGAGGAGAAGCCTTTCACTTCATTTAGACTTCGTTCAGTCTTGGCTGCAGGGGTGGAGAGCAGAAAAAGACGAGGGGACGGCGTCAGCGGGGAGGAGGCGGAGAGCGTCAGTGAAATCACATTGTGATTATGAGTGTAATTGCAGCTCAGGGGCCCAGGGGCCATGTAGCTCTGGTGGCGCTAGAAGATGTTTTATGCGCAGCAACATAGAAGAAGGAAAGTGAGAATGAGAAGAAAAGAGGGAGAGTGGGAGGCAAAGGCAGACTGCCAGGATGGACTTTTTTTTTTCCTCTCCCCCTCCTCTCTTGCTTCCTTCTTCGCCTCTTCCACCAACGTTTTCCTCCTCTCTCTCTTCTTCGTTCCTATTCTCTGTTTCCGTCCTCCTCCCTTGGCAGGATTAGCCGGGTCTCGTTAGAGGGGAAATGTAATAATGCTCCCACCAGGTGGAATCGGGCCCGCTCCATTATCAGTCGGGAGATGGATGGGCCGTGTAGGGCCGG